TGTTATCAGTAACTTTGTAGTGTCTTACCTTGTCTTACCTTGTCTATCAACCCCTAACACTATATGGTGCTATCAGTAACTTTGTAGTGTCTTACCTTGTCTATCAAACCCTAACACTATATAGTGTTATCAGTAACTTTGTACTGTCTTACCTTGTCTATCAGACCCTAACACTATATAGTGTTATCAGTAACTTTGTAGTGTCTTACCTAGTCTATCAAACCCTAACACTATATAGTGTTATCAGTAACTTTGTAGTGTCTTACCTTGTCTATCAAACCCTAACACTATATAGTGTTATCAGTAACTTTGTACTGTCTATCAAACCCTAACACTATATAGTGTTATCAGTAACTTTGTAATGTCTTACCTTGTCTATCAAACCCTAACACTATATATATAGTAACTTTGTTATCAGTAACTTTGTAGTGTCTTACCTTGTCTATCAAACCCTAACACTATATAGTGTTATCAGTAACTTTGTACTGTCTTACCTTGTCTATCAAACCCTAACACTATATAGTGTTATCAGTAACTTTGTAGTGTCTTACCTTGTCTATCAAACCCTAACACTATATAGTGTTATCAGTAACTTTGTAATGTCTTACCTTGTCTATCAAACCCTAACACTATATAGTGTTATCAGTAACTTTGTAGTGTCTTACCTTGTCTATCAAACCCTAACACTATATAGTGTTATCAGTAACTTTGTAGTGTACCTTGTCTATCAAACCCTAACACTATATAGTGTTATCAGTAACTTTGTAGTGTCTTACCTTGTCTATCAAACCCTAACACTATATAGTGTTATCAGTAACTTTGTTGTACCTTGTCTATCAAACCCTAACACTATATAGTGTTATCAGTAACTTTGTAATGCCTTACCTTGTCTATCAAACCCTAACACTATATAGTGTTATCAGTAACTTTGTAATGTCTTACCTTGTCTATCAAACCCTAACACTATATAGTGTTATCAGTAACTTTGTAGTGTCTTACCTTGTCTATCAAACCCTAACACTATATAGTGTTATCAGTAACTTTGTAGTGTCTTACCTTGTCTATCAAACCCTAACACTATATAGTGTTATCAGTAACTTTGTAGTGTCTTACCTTGTCAAACCCTAACACTATATAGTGTTATCAGTAACTTTGTAGTGTCTTACCTTGTCTATCAAACCCTAACACTATATAGTGTTATCAGTAACTTTGTAGTGTCCTACCTTGTCTATCAAACCCTAACACTATATAGTGTTATCAGTAACTTTGTAGTGTCTTACCTTGTCTATCAAACCCTAACACTATATAGTGTTATCAGTAACTTTGTAGTGTCTTACCTTGTCTATCAAACCCTAACACTATATAGTGTTATCAGTAACTTTGTAGTGTCTTACCTTGTCTATCAAACCCTAACACTATATAGTGTTATCAGTAACTTTGTAGTGTCTTACCTTGTCTATCAGACCCTAACACTATATAGTGTTATCAGTAACTTTGTAGTGTCTTACCTAGTCTATCAAACCCTAACACCATATAGTGTTATCAGTAACCTTGTAGTGTCTTACCTTGTCTATCAGACCCTAACACTATATAGTGTTATCAGTAATTTTGTACTGCCTAACTTTGTCTATCAAACCCTAACACTATATAGTGTTATCAGTAACTTTGTACTGTCTTACCTTGTCTATCAAACCCTAACACTATATAGTGTTATCAGTAACTTTGTACTGTCTTACCTTGTCTATCAGACCCTAACACTATATAGTGTTATCAGTAACTTTGTAATGTCTTACCTTGTCTATCAGACCCTAACACTATATAGTGTTATCAGTAACTTTGTAGTGTCTTACCTTGTCTATCAAACCCTAACACTATATAGTGTTATCAGTAACTTTGTAGTGTCTTACCTTGTCTATCAAACCCTAACACTATATAGTGTTATCAGTAAATTTGTATTGTCTTACCTTGTCTATCAAACCCTAACAATATATAGTGTTATCAGTAACTTTGAAGTGTTTTACCTTGTCTATCAAACCCTAACACTATATAGTGTTATCAGTAACTTTGTAGTGTCTTACCTTGTCTATCAAACCCTAACACTATATAGTGTTATCAGTAACTTTGTACCTTGTCTTACCTTGTCTATCAAACCCTAACACTATATAGTGTTATCAGTAACTTTGTAGTGTCTTACCTTGTCTATCAAACCCTAACACTATATAGTGTTATCAGTAACTTTGTAATGTCTTACCTTGTCTATCAAACCCTAACACTATATAGTGTTATCAGTAAATTTGTATTGTCTTACCTTGTCTATCAAACCCTAACACTATATAGTGTTATCAGTAACTTTGTAATGTCTTACCTTGTCTATCAAACCCTAACACTATATAGTGTTATCAGTAACTTTGTAGTGTCTTACCTTGTCTTACCTTGTCTATCAAACCCTAACACTATATAGTGCTATCAGTAAATTTGTACTGTCTTACCTTGTCTATCAAACCCTAACACTATATAGTGTTATCAGTAACTTTGTAATGTCTTACCTTGTCTATCAAACCCTAACACTATATAGTGCTATCAGTAAATTTGTACTGTCTTACCTTGTCTATCAAACCCTAACAATATATAGTGTTATCAGTAACTTTGAAGTGTCTTACCTTGTCTATCAAACCCTAACACTATATAGTGTTATCAGTAACTTTGTACTGTCTTACCTTGTCTATCAAACCCTAACACTATATAGTGTTATCAGTAACTTTGTAGTGTCTTACCTTGTCTATCAAACCCTAACACTATATAGTGTTATCAGTAACTTTGTAGTGTCTTACCTTGTCTATCAAACCCTAACACTATATAGTGTTATCAGTAAGTTTGTAGTGTCATACCTTGTCTATCAAACCCTGACACTATATAGTGTTATCAGTAACTTTGTAATGTCTTACCTTGTCTATCAAACCCTAACACTATATAGTGTTATCAGTAACTTTGTAGTGTCTTACCTTGTCTATCAAACCCTAACACTATATAGTGTTATCAGTAACTTTGTAGTGTCTTACCTTGTCTATCAAACCCTAACACTATATAGTGTTATCAGTAACTTTGTAATGTCTTACCTTGTCTATCAAACCCTAACACTATATAGTGTTATCAGTAACTTTGTAGTGTCTTACCTTGTCTATCAAACCCTAACACTATATAGTGTTATCAGTAACTTTGTACTGTCTTACCTTGTCTATCAAACCCTAACACTATATAGTGTTATCAGTAACTTTGTACTGTCTTACCTTGTCTATCAAACCCTAACAATATATAGTGTTATCAGTAACTTTGAAGTGTCTTACCTTGTCTATCAAACCCTAACACTATATAGTGTTATCAGTAACTTTGTAGTGTCTTACCTTGTCTATCAGACCCTAACACTATATAGTGTTATCAGTAACTTTGTAGTGTCTTACCTTGTCTATCAAACCCTAACACTATATAGTGTTATCAGTAAGTAACTTTGTAGTGTCTTACCTTGTCTATCAAACCCTAACACTATATAGTGTTATCAGTAACTTTGTAGTGTCTTACCTTGTCTATACCCTAACACTATATAGTGTTATCAGTAACTTTGTAATGTCTTACCTTGTCTATCAAACCCTAACACTATATAGTGTTATCAGTAACTTTGAAGTGTTTTACCTTGTCTATCAAACCCTAACACTATATAGTGTTATCAGTAACTTTGTAGTGTCTTACCTTGTCTATCAGACCCTAACACTATATAGTGTTATCAGTAACTTTGTAGTGTCTTACCTTGTCTATCAAACCCTAACACTATATAGTGTTATCAGTAACTTTGTAGTGTCTTACCTTGTCTATCAAACCCTTACACTATATAGTGGTATCAGTAAATTTGTACTGTCTTACCTTGTCTATCAAACCCTAACACTATATAGTGTTATGTCTATCAAACCCTAACACTATATAGTGTTATCAGTAAATTTGTACTGTCTTACCTTGTCTATCAAACCCTAACAATATATAGTGTTATCAGTAACTTTGTAGTGTCTTACCTAGTCTATCAAACCCTAACACTATATAGTGTTATCAGTAACTTTGTAGTGTCTTACCTTGTCTATCAAACCCTAACACTATATAGTGTTATCAGTAAGTTTGTAGTGTCATACCTTGTCTATCAGACCCTAACACTATATAGTGTTATCAGTAACTTTGTAGTGTCTTACCTTGTCTATCAAACCCTAACACTATATAGTGTTATCAGTAACTTTGTAGTGTCTTACCTAGTCTATCAAACCCTAACACTATATAGTGTTATCAGTAACTTTGTAGTGTCATACCTTGTCTATCAAACCCTAACACTATATAGTGTTATCAGTAACTTTGTAGTGTCTTACCTTGTCTATCAAACCCTAACACTATATAGTGTTATCAGTAACTTTGTACTGTCTTACCTTGTCTATCAAACCCTAACACTATATAGTGTTATCAGTAACTTTGTAGTGTCTTACCTTGTCTATCAAACCCTAACACTATATAGTGTTATCAGTAACTTTGTAGTGTCTTACCTTGTCTATCAAACCCTAAAACTATATAGTGCTATGAGTAAAATTGTAATGTCTTTCCTTGTCTATCAAACCCTAACAATATATAGTGCTATCAGTAAATTTGTAGTGTCTTACCTTGTCTATCAAACCCTAACACTATATAGTGTTATCAGTAACTTTGTAGTGTCTTACCTTGTCTATCAAACCCTAACACTATATAGTGTTATCAGTAACTTTGTAATGTCTTACCTTGTCTATCAAACCCTAACACTATATAGTGTTATCAGTAACTTTGTAGTGTCTTACCTTGTCTTACCTTGTCTATCAACCCCTAACACTATATGGTGCTATCAGTAACTTTGTAGTGTCTTACCTTGTCTATCAAACCCTAACACTATATAGTGCTATTAGACAAACCGTGTCATCAGTAACTTTGTAGTGTCTTACCTTGGAGGAGAATTCTTCCTCCTATCTTTATCGTCTGATTTTGAAGATTTTCTCGTTTCTGGCGTCCTTGACCTTCTTTTTGGAGACCTTGACCTTCTATGTGACCCTTGTGACCTTGAGTGATGTTCAGGCGACAACCGCCTTGTTTTTTCTGATTTTCTTTCTGTCCCTGATTGTATTTTATTCTTCTGTAAATAAATTGTTTCATTTTGCAATTATATACTGAAAAGTTAACACTAATCGAGATGAAAGAGAAAAATTACGTGACAGCATCAGCAGATATCAACTAATCCTAGTTCTGACAGGTTAATCAGCTTAAATGAAATGAAATTTCTAGCAGTTGTATCTAGGGAATATCTTGGTCAATTTGCATAACCAGTTTACAGTTACCATTTACAAAGTAGCTACAGTATGTATGTATGTTACTGCCATAAAAAGACATATTGAAGAATAAAAGTATTTTTAAAGAAACCTGCAGATAATCTCATTTTGCGATGCATTTAAGGAATACTTCAAAAGAAGATATGTACATATTTTTCAAACTTGGGTTTACTGTCACATCCTTGTTAAAAATGTACTTATGTGTCATTTGATTTCTAAAAAAAAGTTTAAAAAAGAAGAATTTTAAAGAATTTTCTCCATTTCCCATATTGGACCCTGTCACTCCCTTTTAAGGGAACCAAGACCTATCTTTTATACAAAGTAATCACCCTCCCCCAAGAATGCTTCAGACCAACTTTAGGCAAAATCCAAACATTCCTACGGGAGGAATAGGATTTTATAGAAATTTCTCTAATTCCTCACATTTTCGTTGATAAAATTCACTAATGTTTCCTGATTTCTGGATAAGAGTTTCCCAAAAAAAAGGAGAAATTTAGGCAAAATCCAATCATTCCTATAGGAGGAACAGAATTTTATAGAATTTGCTCCAATTCCACACATCTCTGTTGACACAAATGTGATTCATCATTTCTGGATAAAAGTTTTAGAAAAATTGACATAATTTTAAATGGGAAAATCAGTCAATATTTTCCAGATTTAAAGGCTTCAAAATCCCTTTGTTCCAGAAGAAGGAAGATTCTAATTTTTTTCCCTTCATTTTCCCTATATATGTACTTGACATAAAACCACTAGCCCCTGTAAGAAGGAACCACCATTTATCCAAAATTTTGGTCCCATTTACCTCAAAGATACCTCTGACCAAATTTTGTCAAAATCCCAACAGAATAATTCAAAATTACTTTCTGTATTTTCCCTACTTAGTCCCACCTGTCTGCCCCCATTGGGTGTCAAACCCACTCTTTTTACAAAATAGAATTCCCTTCATACAAGTATGCTTCTGACTAAATTTGGACAAAATCCTCTCATTCCTATGGAAAAAGAATGTCCAGACCCACCATTTATACAAAATTGGTTCCCTTTCTCAAATTCCTTTTTTTAGAAAAATTTGGCCAAAATCCACTGAGTAATTTCAGACTATATACATATATAGAGCACTTTTCAGAAAAAATAAAGGATGAACAGGTGATTGACGAACAACAGATGCTGCATGATGATGGCATAAGCTCACATTTAAACCCGCTGAACGAACAACTTTTTGAAAATCTTATTACAAAACAGATCAATAATAACTCACATTGACAATCAGGCCATATTTCTTTGCTTTGTATCTCTGGTTATCTGAATCGTCACCACTACTGTCCTCGCTGCTCTCACTGCTACTGGAGTCAACATGCGACAGTTGTCTCTGTGGCTCAGACATAGAGTGTCTATGTCCATGTTGACGTTCTTTTGGATGCTTTGTTGAAGAATGATCAGACTTCCTCTTATTTTCTCTGTCCTTTGTTTTTTCCCTTTCATCAGTTTCATCTGAGTCATTATCACGCTTGTTTCTATGTGCTTTGTGTTCTTTCCGGTAAGAGTTTCTATGCCTTGAATTTGAATCACTATCTGAGTCTCGCTGATGTTTGTACCTATGTTTTGAATGCTTTGTATTGTGATAGTTGAAGTCTTGTCTATGTTTGTTTCTTTGGTAATCTTCTTGCCTTCTCACTCGGTGTTCATTGTCACTGTCATCTGAATCATCTGAATGTTTCCTGTGAGAATCACTGTGTCTTTTTTTGTCTTTTCCCTTTTGTTTTTTGCTTAAAATTGAAAGATATTTCTGCATGATGTCATCATCTTCTGAATCACTGTGTTTTTTCTTTTTCTTTTTTTCCTTTTTCTGTTGTTTTTCTATCTGAAAACAAAGAAAGAAAATACCACTTTTGTGTCAAATTTCACATGTTTTACGTTCATTAAACAACAAAATAAAGTCAGACTGAAATATATTTTAAAAATGTATTTCTGTCCTCTTTTAAAATCCTGTCTATGAAACACAAAGTTCAACCTAGAACCAGTGAAATAAAAAGCCAGACCAGAGTCCCAAAAGCCAAAATATAAGCGACAGTGACCTACATTTGGTGTTGCTCAAGTACTTGGGGAATTGCATGATTAAGATGTATATACTTATAAATCATTTCACCTCTATGCATCATTGAAAGCTGACATCACATGCTGACCAAGAATATCTTTATTGAGAGTTCTAAACAGAACTGTCAGCAACATTTTCTTTTAAAGCCTTCAACAAAAGTATGAAAAGACGTAACAATGAATTTATTTCACCCAATTTGAAACTTAATTTTATAAATACGACCTTTACTAGTGAATCACATATGTAAATCAATTCCTACAAATTTAATGCCAGATTCTAAGACATTTAAGGAAGCTGCTATCAAATCATAAAAAATAGTTTTTAGACATTAGACAATTTTACTCACACTTTTCTTCAGCATTTTCATCTTTATGGGGTTTTCTAAGATACGTTTTCTTGCTTCCTCTTCTCGTTTTCTTAAAACAAAAAGCAGAGATTATTTTATAGAAGTTGAGAGTAAAGGTCGCCATATTAGTTTTGAGGAAACTTCTCTTTACTCGAGTGGTATAGTGTCCAACTAGAGACAGAAGGGTTGCTAGATGGGGTATTATTTTTAATCCTGACAAGACAGAATCCCTACTTTTTTTAATGAGAGTTGATTCGAAGATGTTGCATCCAAATCTGTACTTTAATGATTCAGTTATTAAAAATGTTACCTTCCATAAGCACCTTGGTTAACTTTTAATAGTCATGCTAATTGGTCAAACCACATTAACTCTATCTATGAGAAAGCTTATAAACGAATAAATGTACTTAGAATGTTAAAGTATAAAATTGACAGAAAGTCACTTGAATTAATATATATTACATTTATTCGTCCTATTTTAGAATATGCTGATATTGTTTGGGCTAATTGCACAGAAAGGGAATGCACCATCTTAGAATCAATTCAACTAGAGGCAATTCACATTATTACTGGCCTAAGACGGGGCACCAGTCATGCAATTCTATATAGGTAATGAGTCTGGATTAATACCCTTAGCTAAAAGAAGACACTTACATCAAAATATCCATTTTTTTAAGATTTTAAATAACAGATGCCCTCCTCATGTATTTGACTCTATCCAACCTTTTATAAACAATAATACTGCTCCTTATCCACTTCGACACAATAGATTGTTTGATGTGCCCCATACAAGAACTTGTCAATATAGCACTAGCTTCTTTCCAAAACTTATGAATGAATGGAATGGCCCATCTTGTCTGTATCCCTCATTAACTTCTATTTATGCGATAAAAAAATCTTTTTTATCACAGCAAGCTACCATTCCTCCTTTCCACTGTAATGATACTTTCAAATATAAAGGACAAAGAAAAGCTAACATAATTTTATGTCAACTAAGAAACTCTGCAAGTAATCTGAATTTTGATTTATTCAATTCCCACCTTAAAGATAACCCTGCCTGTAACTGTGGCCACCCAGTTGAAGATTGTACCCACTTCTTTTTCCACTGTCCCTTCTTTACTAACCAGAGACAACTCCTCTTTAATTCCCTTTCTGACCTTAGTGATTCTATACCTCCTACAATTGATACATTTCTCAAAGGTTCTCCTATACTTGATGCAAACATGAATAAATTTATTCTTGATATAGTTCAGATTCATAACTGACACTGGTCGCCTATTTTAGCAAATGTACATCCCATTCTATACTTCTATCTTTTCTATCTCTCATTTGTATTTGATGTCTCAAGTGTGGGTCCGCCTGTCCATTTTAGGGACTCAGCTCAGGATTATGTGCAAATGGACTGTTTGAACCTGCAGCCTGTCCCACCACAAATGGACATATTTTGACCCAGTCTTGTAATATCTTGTGATACCTAATTTGTATTTTTTAGTTTATGTTAGTGTTCTGGAACTCAATAATACAAACGATGGTGATGCCTATTTTGCATTTCGGTTATATAATCATCCATTTGAATCTATCTCCTACATTCTTATTCCTAATATTATTATTATCTGTTATCTCTAATTTTGACTGATGTGTCTGTATACTTGTTTATGCACTGTAAGGAGAGGGCTTTCATAGGCTCTGCCTGTTGCCCAATTCCTACTGTCAATACCACCATGACAATAAAATATTCTGAAAGAAAGAAAAAGAAAAAGAAGGGTTGCTAGTTCACAACCAAGTGACGGCAGTGTGCTTAGTGTCTAACTAGAGACAGAAGGGTTGCTAGTTCACAACCAAGTGACGGCAGTGTGCTTAGTGTCTAACTAGAGACAGAAGGGTTGCTAGTTCACAACCAAGTGACGGCAGTGTGCTTAGTGTCTAACTAGAGACAGAAGGGTTGCTAGTTCACAACCAAGTGACGGCAGTGTGCTTAGTGTCTAACTAGAGACAGAAGGGTTGCTAGTTCACAACCCAGTGACGGCAGTGTGCTTAGTGTCTAACTAGAGACAGAAGGGTTGCTAGTTCACAACCCAGTGATGGCAGTGTGCTTTTTCTTACTCCTACCTGGTTCTACTTATGAAGGTTTATAGTTATGTACATGTATTAACATGTGTGGGAGGTTGTGTTGTGTTTACTCGTTCCCTTTTCCTCTCTCTATATAATAATCATTCAACTTGTCACAAAACCTTGTTGTTTCTTTTCTATGAAAGGAGAGGAGGAACCCCAGAGTTACAGAACCTCAGGATGTCACAAAACAAATTATCATCATATTTCACTCCTACTACAACATTACTTAGTATCAAAACACTAGAGTGACAGTGGACAAAGTACACACGATCAAAAATACCTAGAACTATCAGTCATAACCATAATGGCAGAACTGTGAATATACCTCCATAATCTTGGAAATTAAATGGTAGTTTTATCCTACTTTTGGAAAATCTGTTAAATGTTGTTCGATGTGGCGTATTTCCTTGTGATTTAAACTGTTTATCCCATGTAAAAATGAAATATTGTCCATTCAACAAACATCATATTGGATGAATGAGATTTTCCGCAGTGATGTGAGATGAAGGGAGATAACTCACCGTATAGCAAACAAGGGATCTTCTCTAGCCTTGGCTGCCATATCAAGAGCAATATTTGCCTTTATTCTCTCGCCAAAGATATCATCTAAAACAAAAATTCATCAGATGTCATCCGATACAACCATCCAACAACGACGTCATGTGATACAACAAAGATGTCATGTGATACAACAATTCAACAAAGATGTCATGTGATACAACAATTCTACAAAGATGTCATGTGATACAATTCAACAAAGATGTCATGTGATACAACAAAGATGTCATGTGATACAATTCAACAAAGATGTCATGTGACACAATTCAACAAAGATGTCATGTGATACAACAAAGATGTCATGTGGTACAACAAAGATGTCATGTGATACAATTCAACAAAGATGTCATGTGATAGAATTCAACAAAGATGTCAACTGATACAACAATTCAACAAAGATGTCATGTGATACAACAATTCAACAAAGATGTCATGTGATACAACATTTCATTCATCATCTAAATCTTCCCTGCAAATGTTCTTATATGGTGAAAATACTCAAAACAAAGAAACAAAATATGCTTTTTTTTCTGAAGAATTCATTGCTTACATTTAAATCTTTAATAAATATTTATTATCCCATATCTTCCTATTATCAGTGTAATAATACTTTTTACATAACTGTTATTACACATGCAATATGATGCAGCAAAGCTGTAACTGGCTTAAGTTCCCTATTGTTTCCATGGTGATGTCATAGTTTCAATGTGATATATGCATTGTGACATCATCAGAAAAGAAGACAGAATGAGAATATCACTAAAGTAACTGTCGTTTCAGGCTAATTAAATATTATTTTTGCAGAAGTAAATATCTACATTTGTATGTTATATTTAGGATTTGGCTTTTGTTTCCAGTTTATATGAGATTTAAGAAACTCGCCAAAATTTTGTTTAATTCAGCTCATCAGAGTTTCAGAATAATGAAAAATTTCAAAAATTGATTCCTGAATCTCTATTTACATATTCATATCAACTTGTCTGCTGAAAGGCCATAAAAATGGACATAAAACCTGATAAATAAACAATAAAAATCACTAATAAACATTCAAATGATAATTTCTACAAGAATGGAATTGTCCCAAATCTCACCTGGCTTAGGAGATTCTTCTTTCTCCACATGTCTATCTACACGTTTCCCTAGAAGGTAATCTTCCTCGTTAGGTTTATCTCCCTTGTACATCCAATCCATTGTCTGTCCTGATATCCTGAAACACCAGGAAACTGGATATTAAATACATACCAACATTTAATGATATACATGTATATTAACAGTATCATTATTAGACAATTTCTTACTAACTTTATCTTAACAGCACAGGTTTTTTTTCTTCAGACCAATCAGTTTTCAAAATCTAATTGATGAAATATGATAGTGTGAAATTGTATATGGACAAGGACTGTTAAAAACTCTTGTTTGTTAAATATTAATGATACAACTACTTATAATATCATGTACAAAATATTTGTAGGACAAAAATACTAAGTGTGAAATATAACACTTCTGGTATAAATGAATCAAGGTCATCGGGGTCCTGACGAAGCCTCACTTATAGAGGTGAAACTAGTCGGCCACTAAATAGCCCACTTACTGGTGACGCTCGGGTAAATCGTGATTGAAATTACCTTGATTCATTTATTTTATGTTATTTCGTCACCCTGTATACCTTTCAGTATCCATATACAACACACAGCACCTAATTGATTGTCCTACTTACCGGTACTTTAAAACTGACACTGGCTCTACTCTTCTAGTTTAAATTTATGTTTATGTTTACATGCAGGTAAGTAAGCTAAGCAAGTAAGCTATGACATACAAGTAATAGTTATAACACATGAACATTAGTACACATACATGTATGACTAGGTTTACACGACCGTACATAAATAACACAAAAATTAAAGTGCCAACCATGTAGAAGTTTCTTAGGTTTAGTAATAATACCATAATAGTGAGAAAATCATAAAAGTTTTAGAACATAGATTACTACTATCATGACAATTGTACACTGTTTCTAAATGTTTACTTTACACTGTGCTATCAAGCTGTGCTATCATGTACTGATATTATACTAAATGATGTATTCTGCATGTCGCTTTGTATCACAAGACACTGATTCTCAATGTAAGGAACGTCGATGGCACATGTGCCATGATATTTAACATCCTTGCTTTGGCAAAAAAAATTGGTCACCAACAATAAACACAACAACAGAAGACACCAATATCTCAGACTGAAACCTGGTGCCAAAAATTACACTTATCACTTTGAACAAAAATGAAAACATTTAAATAAAATACAAAATTCCTAGTACTTGTACACTTACTCTCTTTCTCTCATCATTTCTTTTATTTTTCTTTTCTCTGTGTCCTCCATTGTCACAGAATACAGTTGAGAACTTTTTCTGCTTGTTGTTATAATCAGATCCTGAAAATGTAAAATAAGTCACTTAAAACTAATAATAACCCACGGGCTCTGCTTTTTCTTATTTTGAGCAATGTATTACCTCGGTTAACATGTTGATAACCAAAACACTAAAAATATAGCATCTTTACATGTTCTGAAACCTTATAAAAAATTTAGTTCTCGATACCCCAGGTTTTCAAAAGGTTTCAGAATGTGTAAAAGTATTGGAATTTTGGTGTTGTGGTTATTAGCTGATGCCACGTACATCACTCAACATCCTGAAATCCTTGTGTTATAAACTGTTGAACAGAGTTATTTAAATCAAGGTATCAGGTGACCAAACGAAATTGGGCATGGATTTTGTTGAGTGAAATATACATGCAGGTTTAACACAACAACCATTAAATCCATATAGTATTAATGCACTTTGCTGTCCAGGTACTGGTATTGTGTTACAGTGACATGCATGTCACTTTTTTACCTGCATTAACATAAAATGGTGGAGTATTTTGAGTGTGCATTTTACTCACATATGTAATATTTTATACATAATATTGTAACGGTTTTAAACAGTCCAGATTATTTTACAGTCTCTTTACTCTTTTTAGAGTGGCTTTTAATATACAAATATGTTTATTCATAACAGAACAGGAAAACACATGTTCCTGTCAATTTCCCCCCACCAGAAATTAAATTAAGTTTTCTGGCTCTATCAACTGATTCATTGACCAAAGCATGCTCCGTCACTGCATGACAGATCTCACATTTAACACTATATACAAGCCACGCCGAACTGCTCCTGTTATACTGCTCCCCCTGGTTTTCTTGAAATTTCCTAAATCTCAACCCAAGACTCCGATTACCACAACGCTTGGGATTTTAATAGAACTAGGAAAATACACATTTCTTGTTGAGTGCCCCGGCCAGGAATACAACTTCGGTCTCCGGTGTGATAATCTACCAACTGAGCCAAAGTAGCATACTCCGTCAGCTGAGTGATAGATTGATGTTTAACACTGTATGCAAACCAGACCCACCCCTATTGTGTATTCATATTAATGCAATGTAGAATGTATGTTGTATTGAGGGTGAGACTTCAACAAAACTGTTGTATTTGTATGTTTATATTCAGTACATCAGGTAAAATGTAACATCTTTCTTAGCGTCTGAGTTCAGATAATTTTATAATCTGCATTGAAAGGATGCGTTGCATTGCACAAGCATCTTGAGGATTCCTCTCAAATCCTAGGATGCTCTGCGCAAACTGTAAAAACAGCTGGTAATGTCTTTATCATGTGAAATGTAAATCTGCGATTCACTTTATTTCTATGTATTTATTGTGTAGTCTATTGTTGGGATACACCACTCTGATCGTGATGCAAACCAAACCAAGAGCGCCAAACAGTGACATTTGTCGCCGAGATCTGATCAGGCTTAGATTTACGTTATTCATCATTCTGCTGAAAAAGAAAGGTATCTGAATGCTGTGTGGTATATGGCCCCGCGTAGGATTTCAATCTGAGCCTCACCTTTCACAAAGTTTTAAAACCAACTACCGCTTTCCAAACACTTGCGAAACAATGACTTATAGGATCACGGTTAAAATACCGCTTAAGTGCGTGAAGTAGTAAATTTAAAGTCAATTACGGACATGGATATATACGGGTTTTATTCGTCCCAGCGATGATGAATACATTATTGTACAAATGAATACATGAACATTCTTAGAAATGATTTTTTTATATATCTACAAATTTATTCTTGAAGTTCAAAACCTAAAAGTTGAAAGACAAAACATGTACAGATCAAAAATCCATTATTCTACATACTGCTCCATGGAATTACAATTAGATGATATATATGAAGTACATTATAATGTCATGGCTGCAGGCGGGTAGATATTTCAGTAATGTTTACAGCGGTGATGATATGTGGAATAAAGAGGAAATTATCATCATTTCATGCGCTTGACCGTCAGAAACATACTGGGTCATACAAAAGTGGGTAAAGTTATTAAGTAACACACTACGTATACGATAACCTTAGGTGTCTGCTTCTCTCTACTAATTTGTACTGCTTAACACACGTGGCTCATCAGCACTTGGGTATTCCTTCATCACTTGGTATCACACCCGAGTACATATTTAATGCTTATGATGACTCGCCCTCTTGATTGCTCACTGCATGTCCTATGATGACTCGCCCTTTTGATTGCTCACTGCATGTCCTATGATGAGTTGCCCTCTTGATTGCTCACTGCATGTCCTATGATGTTTTGCCCTCTTGATTGCTCACTGTATGTCCTGTGGTGAGTTGCCCTCTTGATTGCTCACTGCATGTCCTATGATGAGTTGCCCTCTTGATTGCTCACTGTATGTCCTGTGGTGAGTTACCCTCTTGATTGCGCACTGCATGTCCTATGATGTTTTGCCCTCTTGATTGCTCACTGCATGTCCCATGAAGACTCGCCCTCTTGATTGCTCACTGCTTGTCCTATGATGAGTTGTCCTCTTGATTGATCACTGTATGCCCTATGATGAGTTGCCCTCTTGATTGCTCACTGCATGTCCTATGATGAATTGCCCTCTTGATTGCTCACTGCATTTCCTATGATGACTTGCCCTCTTGATTGCTCACTGCATGTCCTATGATGAGTTGCCCTCTTGATTGCTCACTGCATGTCCTATGATGAATTGCCCTCTTGATTGCTCACTGCATGTCCTATGATGAGTTGTCCTCTTGATTGCTCACTGCATGTCCTATGATGAATTGCCCTCTTGATTGCTCACTGCATGTCCTATGATGAATTGCCATCTTGATTTCTCACTGCATGTCCTATGATGTTTTGCCCTCTTGATTGCTCACTGCATGTCCTATGATGTTTTGCCCTCTTGATTTCTCACTGCATGTCCTGTGATGACTTGTCCTCTTGATTGCTCACTGCATGTCCTATGATGTTTTGCCCTCTTGATTTCTCACTGCATGTCCTATGATGAATTGCCCTCTTGATTGCTCACTGCATGTCCTATGATGAGTTGTCCTCTTGATTGCTCACTGCATGTCCTATGATGAATTGCCCTCTTGATTGCTCACTGCATGTCCTATGATGAATTGCCCTCTTGATTGCTCACTGCATGTCATATGATGACTTGCCCTCTTGATCGCCCAATGTATGCCCTAAGATGACTCATCCTCTTGATCGCTCACTGCATGTCCTATGATGACTTGCCCTCTTGATTGCTTACTCATGTCCTGTGATGAAATGTTGTAGTGACGTAGAGACTTTCTCCAGTAGCGGTTTTTTCTTACCTCTCTATAAATAGTGACTCGCAACCTAGAAATATTCCTTTGTCACGTCGTCATTTCCAGCAGAGGTTGTTTGCAAGTTTGTTTTATATTTTAAAATCAAATGGAATCACATACATAATTATCAGATGCAAACATATTATATGGTACAGGCCATTTTCATAATTTTTTTTATTGGTGTATATTGGAGTCCTCAGAAAATACTACAAGCAATAGAGCATTCAAATCGTGTAGCGAAGTGTAGTGATGTATCATACGTCCTCGGTGAAGATTCGGAATTCACTGTCATCTGAAATACTGTAATTCTACAAAAATATTGTACGAGAACTCACAAGTCAATTAGCACATTTTGATACAAAATTTAATGTTATATACAGTAGAACTAAATAATGTATTTATCTTTTCGCGCCTGCCTTCGTCTTTAATTTTACAATTTCCTGATAGCGAATACCAGTTGTTTGATTGGTTGATAGCAGCGGGGGCGTCAAAAATATGGAGAGAAATAAGGAGCGTAATTTTTTTTATACAATTGGTGTAGAAATGTATATTGACTCAAGTCATTGAATGATTTTATCGACAAAAGAATGCAAATTATATCAAGAAAACAATAAAATGAAATATTGACTTAAATGAAAACATTTGGCCTCGTAAAGGGGAGCAGAACTAAAAGTTTGGCCGTCTCGGGCTTCCATACTTTCAGAGAAAACACAAACCACGTAAACATTTCTCGAAGCAGGTGCTTGATAACGGTTTTTAAGTTCGTCGTTTGCTGACCAAATAAGAAATGTCAGCGGCAGAAGGAGCGGATTTGAAAGGAGGACATCCTCCTGCAGGTATTTAAAACAAGAAATGTAAACTCGACTCGACCAAAATAGGCCGAGATGGCAAAAAAAGTAGCCAGATGGTCCCTATGTAATGCCTTGTGGCATGGCCTGGTAGTTGGGCAAAGGACAGCATATAGATAGTGCAGAGGTGCACACACGCGTTCGGCGGCTAATTTTTTTTTTTTTAAATATTTTTCCAATACATTCTGGACAAGATTGCAAAATATACCTGTTTTCGATATTTATTTCTAAAACGTTCATTTTTCTGTGTCTGCGTGTGTTTATTTTTGCAATGAGGTCGTGAGAAGGTTTTGGGACGATGAAAAGACCGTACACATGTGCATTTCCTGACGCCATGAGTCATGCATTTCACTTGATAATGTAGTGGCGCATACAATGTTATTGAGTAGATAGGGATGTGCTAAATGTTATGGTATTAACATGCGTTGTAAACAGCACAAATCTAAGTGAAGACAGCAGACATATTTTAGCTTAATTACAGAAATGTAGTTGATTAAAGTTTTTTCCCCAATAAAGGGCAAGCACATATGACACTAAGTTATCCTTTCTTATATATGTATGAAATAGGAGCAGGTTGGTATGGTTTGTATATAGTATTAAATACAACGTCTGTCACTCAGCTGATGGGTTGGTGTAGCTTGTATATAGTATTAAATACGTCTGTCACTCAGCTGATGGGTTGGTGTGGCTTGTATATAGAGTTAAATACCATCTCTGTCACTCAGCTGACGTAGCATGCTTCTTTTGCTCAGTTGGTAGAGACCCAGATTTGATTCTTTGTCAGGGCACTCGACAGGAACATGTATTTTCTCTTTTCTTTCCCAGAGGTATAAGATGCTGCCAATATCTCGTCATAATGCTATAGGGAAGAAGTTCAAGTTAACTGGGTAGCCATGTTGTTTTTATAGAAGTCTTTTTTCCAAAAGTACATAATTAATCTTCTCAAAATACAATAGTAAATAGTTTAAGGATTTTCTCAATGACTGCACACTTGCCCAAAGATATGGCAGTGGTCAAGTTGGTCAGCAAAGAAGTTGAGTAGGGCCTAGTTAAATAAGGTTCGATAACAACCTGGAAAAGAAAGGACTTTACATCTCTGTGAACAAACACGAAAGCTAATTCTAGAAAACTCACCATCGAGCCATGTTTCTTCTCTGTCTATGTTATGTGTCTTTGACTAAATGGGTCAACATTTTCAAAATTTTGGTAGATTTAAATCCAACCTTTTCCTAAATGGGAACATAATGCAGACTTTATTTTTGCCAGAAAAGGACCTAAAACTCTAAAAGAATCCAGCCCTTTTTCCCTTCATTTCATCCTTGATTTTTAATTCTTCCAAAGTAACATAAAAAGTGACTTAGAATTCATCACTTACCTAAATTTTTATGAGGCTGAAACATCAGTGTGATTAAGAAACCGAAAGTGAAGTTCAAGCAGGGATGTTCCCCCTTCTCGCTGAAATTTGAACCCAAAATAAGTTTGCAATATCACTTATAAGTCCTCAGCCAGTACAACTGGATGGGACTGGAGTCTACCCTATCATCTTAAATACCAAAATATCTGCCACTTTTATTACTTAGAAATACATAACAATGTGAACAATATAGGCACATTTGGCCCTTTGTTTGGTTACAAACAAATCCTGACTCGTAATTGTTAATGTTTTGTGTTCCAGTGAAGGTTGGAGGCATGCGTGTGGTTCAGCACAAAGACGGGAAAGACAAGCCGGCAGAACAACTGACTAAGGAGGAGAAGGAAGAGTATGGATCTAGGTCTGTACTTTATCATACTTTTCAAGATTTTCACGAGGAACGAAAAAAATGAATTTGAAGCGTTACTGAAGTACTATTACACATAACTTAAAACAACATACAACAGTTTCTGTTCATTTATAAAACATGTCGCTGTACATATTTTTCTTGGTCAAGTTTGCTGGTCATTTGTCTATCTGAACACGCATTAAAGAACAGTGATAGTAAATATAAAGAATGGATAGTAAATACTACATATGTAGTTAGAAATCTACTGTAGGATTAACAGACACTAGTAAATGTTAGGGAGATATACATATAAAATCTACTGTAGGATTAACAGACACTAGTAAATGTTAGGGAGATATACATATAAAATCTACTGTAGGATTAACAGACACTAGTAAATGTTAGGGAGATATACATATAAAATCTACTGTAGGATTAACAGACACTAGTAAATGTTAGGGAGATATACATATAAAATCTACTGTAGGATTAACAGACACTGTAGTAAATCTTACCTTAGGGAGATATACATATAAAATCTACTGTAGGATTAACAGACACTGTAGTAAATCTTACATATAAAATCTACTGTAGGATTAACAGACACTGTAGTAAATCTTACCTTAGGGAGATATACATATAAAATCTACTGTAGGATTAACAGTTACTGTAGTAAATCTTACCTTAGGGAGATATACATATAAAATCTACTGTAGGATTAACAGACACTGTAGTAAATCTTACCTTAGGGAGATATACATATAAAATCTACTGTAGGATTAACAGACACTGTAGTAAATCTTACCTTAGGGAGATATACATATAAAATCTACTGTAGGATTAACAGACACTGTAGTAAATCTTACATATAAAATCTACTGTAGGATTAACAGACACTGTAGTAAATCTTACCTTAGGGAGATATACATATAAAATCTACTGTAGGATTAACAGTTACTGTAGTAAATCTTACCTTAGGGAGATATACATATAAAATCTACTGTAGGATTAACAGACACTGTAGTAAATCTTACCTTAGGGAGATATACATATAAAATCTACTGTAGGATTAACAGACACTGTAGTAAATCTTACCTCAGGGAGATATACAAATATAAAATCTACCAAGGCATTCAGATATTTTGTAACACATTGTATGACAGTATATAATAACAGTAATTATGTAACAGCTTTCTGAACATGTTTATTAAATGTTGTGATATACAAGTCGTTTGAATCATTTGAAATGTTCATTGTTTTCATTTTCAGTCCTCCAAAGTCTGACACGCATCACCAGTCTGTGCTGGTTGGTGGAACAGTGACACAGGTAAATCATTTAAATACTAAGTTACATCGTTATTGTTTATTGAACTAGATAAGTTATCTCAGTGCATGAAGAGCAACAACATGTTTATCCTGTAAGAATCTCAGCGAGCCAACATTAGAGTTTGATTCTGAGAAGGACCTCAGCGAGCCAACATTAGAGTTTGATTCTGAGAAGGACCTCAGCGAGCCAACATCAGAGTTTGATTCTGAGAAGGACCTCAGCGAGCCAACATCAGAGTTTGATTCTGAGAAGGACCTCAGCGAGCCAACATCAGAGTTTGATTCTGAGAAGGACCTCAGCGAGCCAACATCAGAGTTTGATTCTGAGAAGGACCTCAGCGAGCCAACATTAGAGTTTGATTCTGAGAAGGACCTCAGCGAGCCAACATTAGAGTTTGATTCTGAGAAGGACCTCAGCGAGCCAACATTAGAGTTTGATTCTGAGAAGGACCTCAGCGAGCCAACATTAGAGTTTGATTCTGAGAAGGACCTCAGCGAGCCAACATTAGAGTTTGATTCTGAGAAGGACCTCAGCGAGCCAACATCAGAGTTTGATTCTGAGAAGGACCTCAGCGAGCCAACACAGAGTTTGATTCTGAGAAGGACCTCAGCGAGCCAACATCAGAGTTTGATTCTGAGAAGGACCTCAGCGAGCCAACATCAGAGTTTGATTCTGAGAAGGACCTCAGCGAGCCAACATTAGAGTTTGATTCTGAGAAGGACCTCAGCGAGCCAACATTAGAGTTTGATTCTGAGAAGGACCTCAGCGAGCCAACATTAGAGTTTGATTCTGAGAAGGACCTCAGCGAGCCAACATTAGAGTTTGATTCTGAGAAGGACCTCAGCGAGCCAACATTAGAGTTTGATTCTGAGAAGGACCTCAGCGAGCCAACATTAGAGTTTGATTCTGAGAAGGACCTCAGCGAGCCAACATTAGAGTTTGATTCTGAGAAGGACCTCAGCGAGCCAAACATGAGAAGGACCTCAGCGAGCCAACACAGAGTTTGATTTGAGAAGGACCTCAGCGAGCCAACATCAGAGTTTGATTCTGAGAAGGACCTCAGCGAGCCAACATCAGAGTTTGATTCTGAGAAGGACCTCAGCGAGCCAACATTAGAGTTTGATTCTGAGAAGGACCTCAGCGAGCCAACATTAGAGTTTGATTCTGAGAAGGACCTCAGCGAGCCAACATTAGAGTTTGATTCTGAGAAGGACCTATACCTAACTTGGATAATTCTAATTTCCGTGCTTTTCATTTTGTTATAAAATGTAGTCTGTTTTGTGAAATTTCTTTTTTTTTTTTTTTTTAATCAATACAGTTTGATGTAATATGACTTGATATTGCTGGTTAAACTGATAAGAACAAGCAGATTGTACATTAAGTTACAGAGATCAGCCTAAAACTGTAAATTATCTGTACAATATGTATAAGAGAGGACAAATTATGACCAGTCAGTGACGAGATAATTCCTCTCTCACACATATTGTACAGTTTGAGGCAAATCTATAACTTAAAACATGGAGTTCTTTTGCTTTGATATAGAACATCTTAGATTTTGATAAAAATCAGCCCCACAAATTTTGTTTCAGACAATAGGCATAAATCCATCATTACACAATTTATCATTGTTCTCCTTTCAAAGCTACTTTGACAACTACACCTCCGTGTGTTTAATCAAATCAGCGTTATTCTTCACTTACCTATCAGTCAAAGGTCACAACTTACCCGGAACTGTTATAACTGTTAGCTGTGATATATATAATGAATAAAATTGATATGATGAAGCACACAGAGCATGCTTTTGGTCTGCTTAGTCCACTTCTGTGACCTCTAACTGTGAAGCACAACATTCCTTCCTCAATCTACATTTATCAAATAATGGATTTGAATAATACAAATAGTGTTTTAAGTAATGTTTCATCATTGCAACAACATGTTTTCAATGAAAAATCCAGCAAAGGTTTGGTCAGAATGTAACAAAAGGGATGTATTTCTCTATTGCAAACTTTTTAAAATTTTCATGGGGGAGATTTTACGTACTCAAAATTGAAAGCATTCCTCAATAAGATATGTGTATATATACATTAGTAGAAACATTTGTAAATAGCATATGTTGTTTTTTTATTCCAATGAAATCATCAGATCTAGGAATAGTTGAAATTCACTTGTTGAATAAAAGTAAAATAAAGGACACAAAATCAGGAATGTCTGTCAGAACTAGGAGTAGTGGTTAAGTATGTGTTCTTAAATCAGTTGACATCCAGGGATGTGTTTCTGTGATCAACTCATTTACATAGATTTGTGAAAAGTGGGATTAACCTTTAGAGCAGGATGTTGTATTCAATTAAAAAAAGTTCTGCCATGGAAATATAAAGTGTTTGTATATATGGGATTATTACTCTTTCTGATGGGAAATGTCTCATTTCACTTTCCACACATGGAATTCATCAAAGTGTGTTGAACGCTTAATGAACTAACGCATATTTTAATTAACACAAGGAAGTAGCACCTTTATCTTCAAAATAATGAAATTGTTTCATGAAGAAGATGAAAAATTCCTAACTACAAATACTAGAAAACTCGGGTGGCGCAGTGTTAATGCACTCGCCTTTCACCTAGCCGACCGGGGTTCGATTCCCTGAACGGACGTGAAAAGGTAAGGGGTCACCTGCCCGACCACGTGGGTTTCCCCCTGGTACTCTGGTTTCCTCCCACAATAAGACCCCTCGCGCGCTTACATCCGGGCCAACAAGAGTGATTAGTATAAGTTGACATAACTTGTTTCGCAATTGTTGTAAAATAAATAAAGTTTATATTTATTTAGAAAACTCAACACAAATATTGCATGGAAATATGTCCTTTTCTTGGGAATTATAGAAACTGTCACCTGTGTCAGGTGGAACACTCCCCACACTTCTGTTTGTGGAATAATTTGGATTTAACCTGTTCATTAATCATCTTTCGACCTGCAAGTTTGAAACAGGACTGTCAACTAGTATACTAGTTTTACATATTCTTTTTGTACCAAGATAAGGTCAATAGAGACCCAACCATCCAGAGTTACGTTTAGCTGTCTGATAAGTTAACGGTCCAATTAGTAAGTTATTTTTAAGACAACCACAATAACATACAGACCAATTACCAGTAACATGGTGGGTTATAGTACAATGAAAATGAAGGATGACATCACAACCATGTTTTAAATACATTGACACACATCGTAATGATGATATGCTGTTTATTTTCAGGGAGATAAGGATTTCCCACCAGAGGCTGTCAAGCATTATCACAACAAACCACTACCCACTCACGAACATTCTCGTCAACCCGCCAAGAACTTTAACATCCAACAACCTCGTTGAACTGAATGGAAAAGGATGTCGTTCTAGTCTCATATTGAACTTGAGCCGGGGCTCGTTCAATGAGAAAAAGACAGATTGGTTAAGGGAAAATGTGAAATAAAGTTTAATGTTAAAACACAAAGCAAGAACTTCAGGCTAAACTTCAGGGGAATTGGATAAAAATATTCAGAAACCATGGAAACATATTTGGATAATGAAATGATTGGAAATTATAAACCATAATTTGTTATACTCTTATGTATTAAAGGAGTATCTAAATCTTGTTCATATTTCAGGTGTTTGTACTCTACCGGTATTTATCTGTGTTGAATATTTCGAAAGAGGCATTATAAGTGTGATGAATATTATAGACGTGTTGGTGTTTGAATTCTTTTTTTCTTTAATGATGATGAGTCCGTGCTTTAGACCAGAATGCCAGAGATTGTTGTATATCTGATTTGTAGAGATCTCCTCAATTAATCAGTACTAACATTGTGTAATATAAATACATGTGTACCTATATATCTGAATAGGTTCATTAAACACATCCTATTATAGGCAGGTCAAAGTAAACTTTTTCTAAAATATTTTTGATCTCTGAAGTTAACCTGGGTATATAGTAATGATACAATAGATAAAAGAATGATGTCATTCAAAGATTATTATTAAAATCATTAAAATACTGTTTGCAACCTCCAAATAAAACTTATCATTTATATGACATATATTTCTAAATATGGCGATGCATTGAAAACAATTTTAGCTTTTCATATTTGATCAAACACAATGAGTGCAAAATTAATAATTCTATATTTGGAATGTTAAGAATGAAAAGAAAAACATGCAATTATTGTTTATATGATAATTTAAAAGCCAAAATGAAAAGTTGTGTGATTTAGGTTGTATTCTTCAAAAGTACCAAGTCTAAATACTTTAAAACATTGTTTATCTATAAAGAAATTAGACCCTGAAAAGCGAAGTGTTGTATTATCGTGATTCGTGATTCGTTTGTCCTCAAATTTTCCAGACCATTTTGGTGAGTTTGCTTACATTTTCTTGTGAACACAATTAATGAAATACATGTAGTAATTTAAAGCAAAGTTTGTTTTGCTTTGATTTTTTTTGTTTTGACACCCCAGTGTTCATACAAGTTTTGAACATTCTGAAATATATTTGTTCTTGGATTATATTGCAATTTTTCCCCTAATTTTATTTCTTTAAGTTTTTACTGGGCAAGTAGTAATCTTTTTCTTGCATTTATTTCCAATTTTTTGTTTTACTTTGTTTTGCATCATAATACGCAATGTTCGTTATATATTTTAAAATGTAATATTAGTTTGAAAATAAAAGTAAATAAAAGTATTGTTTATTGAAAGAATGCTGAGTTAAATGATTGCATATTTTTTAAGGTAATATAATCTTCTGCCTTGTTGATATCTGAATGCTGTGTCTGTGTACTTAACATTATAGCTGCTGGTATTGATATTTTTCAGAAATTTCAATTTGAAATATTAATCTTAAAGGGACAAAATAGTGAAGCTGGAATTCTTTGGAACACATTAACAGATCCTTCATGAGTAAATGTTCTCAATGCACCTTCTGAACAAATCATGCCAAATTATTAACAAAAGCCATTTTTTTTTGAAATGTGATAATGAAAGGGATCAAGTGGAAGATATTGTTTAATATCACCAGCTTTATCAATACTTCAACAGGGGACTACAGTTCAACTATGGAAACTTTCACTTAAAATTTTCTTTTTTTTTTGTACAAATATATGGTCATTTACAATCACTTTGAATAACAAAGTCCTTTTAACATCAGTGTTATCACATTTGAAAAGAATTTCAGGTGACATACCTCTATTATGTGATGAGTTCAAATACAGTTTGATTGCATTTCTTTAGATATACATTTTAAAAATTGATATTTAAATGCTTTCATATACTTTTGATACAGAATATATATTGGTATTTTTTCAGGAATTAAGATAAAGGTGATATTAATCATTTCCACGCTAATTTAAAACACTTGAGTATAAAACTTTAATTTTTTCTGATTTTGAACTTCCATGCAAGCATTCTTTTAGTTGGTTTTTAATCAGTTTTTTTTTTTTGCAATATGTTGAAGTAATTTAGAAATGAACATAAAATTAAACCTGCCTAAGCAAGGCTGGAGTCCAATTGAAACACTAATATTATTTTCACCGTTTTTACATCATAAATAATCAAATACTACCATGTTCTGTTAATCCATTTCTATATTGTCAGTTACCTTTATATAATTGCTTTTCTGTATGCCAAAACTATGTAGTATTTTGACCTTAGATACAATCAATATATTGTTTTTGATTAAAGTGCTATAATTATAGGTTAAGTGCTATATTTCATATAGATTCTATTTTACATTATTTAACACTGGAGTAAATGATGTTTATATTTCTTACTGTTGGTAGTCGTCTTTACTGCCTGTATAAATTAAACATTAGAGTAGATGATTTTGTTGGCTGCCTATATCAGGAAAGCTCTGTATATACCAGTCTGGTTTTGACCTTGTTTAAAGCCTGTATTAGCTAGCAGGTCATTTGTCCTCCGTTATATCTGGTTTTGGAGGGAATGATTACACTGTATTTGTGAAATAACAACAGTGATATGTTTTCATTAAGGATTATGAGCTTACAAACTTTATGTTTTACAAAGAAAACGAGATACAACATCCAGTCTGGCAGATTCATTGATACCGCCAGTCTTCCAAGGATGAATTCCTAGTGGAATACAGGAGTCCAGTTCAAAGATGTGTTAACAGGAAATATAGAGGACCAGGATGTTGTCTGGTCCTCTATATTTCCAGTAAACTTTATATTTGTCACAAAGTAACATATCAGGACTTTGCTTTGAAGTATTTTTATTCAATTCTATTTTAAGACATAAGTAACAGATTTCCCGAATATATTTTTTTTTAAGTCTACATTGCTATATTATAACCATAGCCACTTTTTTAAGTTTGGTCAACATTTGATTCACAGACCGTTTCAGACTGCAGATTATTCTACAATAAATAGTGATAAAAAAGAGCAGATAATTAATCTTGATTCTGTTGTAATTAGCTGTTGCTCAAAATAAAAATTACCAAAAATTCAAATTGTTTTTGTTTCAGTTTTGTTTCCAACAGTCCATCTTGACCTTTTAGCCAACATTTCTGATTGTTGTGCTGTTGTAGTGCCTGTTGTCCTTTTTCAGTTATGATATGGTGTTGCCTGTCCTTTGGCATTTTAACAATCAAGTATTCACCATTTTTACTGACGTGGTACAAAGTGCCAGTGAGCTTGTAGTATAGTGAAGTATATGTTATCTGTTTGTCAATCAACTGTCTAAAAAAAACACTATACACTTGTTAGGGATCATCAATTTCTGTAGGAATATTTCAACTCATTTTTCCTATTGTACAAATGTTGCCTGTGTGTTGTAGGCCACCAAGTGATACACACAACTTAAAGATAACCTTTATTTGTACGGGAAACTCTATAATCTTGTAACCCAGGTAAAATACTAGGGGCAATGTACAGCTGGGCTAGAAAGAATTTCTCTTTAAGTTGACTAGTTGAGTGTCAAACTAGTAAACCAGAAGTTCCAGGTTCAAATCTAAGATTTTGACTATGAAAGTTTGTTACCACTCTTTCTTAGGAGAGGGTGGCATGTTAGATTTTGACATTGGAAGTCTGTTATTGATGTTTCTGGAGCAGCACTGGATGGATTTTTCCTTCATATTTTGTATGTACTATGTAGGTTTGCATTGGTACCTTGTGTCCTTTTACTTTTGAGATTGATGGATTTTTCCTTATAGGCTATGAGGTTTGCATTGGTACCTTGTGTCCTTTTACTTTTGAGATTGTAAGGCGACCAGATTTTAGTTGACAGTGGAAGATTATTATTGCTATTTCTTCAGAGGAATTCTCAAATTTCATATCACTGAGAGCAATGAAGAGGAGAGAAGAAACATGAAGGGAAAAGACCTGAGATATAGAGTTGAGACAAAGATCAAACAATCGCGTGCCCCATGATCTCGTTAACGTCTAAATGTACTATGTGATTGTCTCTTCTTCTTCGGACTTTCCACTGGTAGGTAAGGTGACCAATCATTCTTTCATTGTTTTCTCGCTTGCAGTCGTGAGGTCACAGGAAAAAAGAGATCCACAAAACTATTGGATAGAAATCGACTGATGGATTTACAGAATCCCTCCACTGAAACCTGGACGGTTTTACATTAATCATATGGTGTTTTGTTTTAAAGTAAAATCATACATAATGCAATCTTTCCCGGTATTTTACTAATACAAGATTTGAAAGCAATAATATGTCTACATCACACAATCTTTGTCCTTATATAAATTAATAACATCAGTACTGTTCAAAGACTGAAGAATTTTACCTGGCGCAGTTGTTTTCTTGAAAGTGATATAAGAGGAGGTGTAATATTCTTTATAAGATTAAGGACACATTTTCAGGCCCCGTAGGTGTTTTATCTTTAAGAATATTTGGTCACTAATGTCTTGATTTGTTCAAGTGATGCCAGGAAAAACATAGGTGACTAAGGGGAGGTAAGTCACATTAAGAGTCGTAAACAGCAGTAGTGTTAGGAATAGAAGAAACCGTTTTAAGCCTTATCTAAGGGGTTATTATGTTATTAAAAACTTTGACAGGACGTGGCGTTTATGATTACTAACCAGGAGAAATAGATTTGTCAGATAGGATATTCTGGAACTAATTTAGATATTTTTCTTGTAGCACGAGAGTTATAAATTTTAACATGTCACTCTCTTAGTCGGAAGAATTTACAAGTATGTCATCTATTTTTAACCCTTTTCCCTTGTCACACTTGAGACATTTAAGATATGTCATTATGTAGATTGTAGTCACTGCTGTGGACTTTAATTCACCGAAGTTTGCCGTAACCTGCACGCCACGTTTAAATTAATTCGAATAGTGGCAGAATATACACGTGAACTTGACATTGTTACAAAATTACCTGTGATGTGAAAATTATAAAATGTATCAAATTAAAGGCCTAGTGCACCTCCCCGTCTAGAGCTTGATTTTTCTTTCTGTTACTTTGTGTTTGGCTCAGTCGCCTCCTCAGCTTCAAAATTTACATCAATTGTTTATTGACAAAAACCAAAGGCCGCACGGCCTGTAGGTACATACATTGTACAGCATCATATACAATATACAAGTGGCAGAATGGAGGGTGGATACAATATCATACACAATGAAATTGACAATTTCGTGTTAACAATATTATCTACTGGAGACATTCAACATTTTGATCATCTAATACATCTACTATTTATGTATTTGTAATATTTTGTAAATCCATGGCTGACTTCAGAAATCTACATATATTGAGTTGTTGTTTATAGTTTTCCTCTGTTAGTAAATTAATAAGTTTGTACACTGATGGGTGATAATAAAAATATCTTTTTACATATTTTTTCCTTAGGTTAGAACATAAAGGACAGCTTAACATGAAATGGTACTCATCTACAATTTCTTGTACTTGACAACACATACATAATCTTTGACTTCTCTCAATATTAGCATGACGACCAGTTTCTATACGAAGAGGGTGGTATGACATTCTAAATTTAGACAACACACATTTTAAATGGAAAGGAATAGGCTTTGATAAGTAATACTGCAGTGAATAACTACGGTTATCAATTAAATATTTATATAAATCACATTTACTCGATGTTTCAATACTTGATAACATATTTTGAACGAAAATATCCTTCAGTCTCATTTTAATAGTTTTTAAAAATATATTTTTGTCAGAGTATACAATACCTTGATTTTCCCATACGTACATAAATCCTGTAGTACACAGGTTGTGTTTAATATGACTTACCCAGTTTACAAATCTGCCGGGATCTGTATTACAAATGTTCAGTTGTTTTTGGTATATACCCTTTAAAATACAATTGTCAGTACCACAATTTTTAACCAATATTTGATAGCTTGAACATTTCTGTGAACGTACAATGGCACTCTTCCAAGCTCACTGTAAATCATCATATTTGAAGCTCTAGAAGGAGCCTTCAGAATTTTCTTACAAAAATACAAATGTACATTTTCTATATCTTTGGCGGCGTGAAAACCCCATACCTCACAACCATAGTTAAGTATACTTGTAACATATGTGTCAAAAATTGACAGTCTAGTAATGACATTAAACTGATATTCTCTAAAATATTTTTTCTAAACCAAACGTGTATTTTTAATGACCGTGGACCTCGGATTTGTCAACCGGCACATAAACTTGAATTCTGCTGATATTTTGTTTAAATAACGTCAGTCATGAGTGCTAAAACAAAAATCAATGTTTAAAAAATAATATCCTGGCCTCGAGTGCCTGTGGTGTAGCTAGGATTTTCTGAGTAGCAGCAAATTTACCATTGTAATTGAATACAAGTCCTAAGTAACACAAATATGGTACATTTGCAACAGGTATAAATCTATAATTCCAGAGCTCGTTCTCTCTAATACTACCACCAGTTCTAAAAACCATAACTTTAGTTTTATTTACATTTACAGATAACTTCCACTTATTACAATAATTACATTTAGCATAGACTGTAAGCCTTCTGCAGTCTCAGAAAATAAAACCGTATCATCGGCATACATTAATATCATAAGAGATACATCACAAAATTCAATTGCATCGCAATTATGAAATAAATCTTTTTCTAGATCGTTAACGTACAGAGAAAACAAAATTGGAGATAACGATTCACCTTGATACAATCCGAGATTACTAGCAAAATCGTCAGATAATAAGCCATATGTTCTGACACGTGTTTTTACAAGAGTATACAATGATTGTAGAATTTTTAGCATTTTACCAGTTACATTTTGTTTGATAAGTTATTTTTCCAGAGGAAAGTTCTCTTCACAGTGTCGAACGTCTTCTGGTAATCAACAAAACAGCAGTAGAGACGTTTTTTCTTTGTTAAATAATTGTTTATAAGACCATGTAATGCATAAATTGCATCTACAGTTCCATAGCCTTTTTAAAAAAAAAACAGTGTGCATCTGATATCACGTTGTATGATTCTGACCAGTTTAACAGTCTGGTGTTCAAAACTGATGTAAATATTTTACCCAAATTACTAACAAGTGTTATAACTTTATAATTATTCACATCGTTTTTGTCCCTTTTTTTTATACAAAGGGATAACAATAACTCCCGCCCAAGATGTAGGGAAAAACCCAGATTTAAATATAATGTTAAATACTTTACATAACAAAGGTACAAACATTTCCTTCGCATGTGTAAAGTATTCATTTAATAAATTGTCAGCACCTGGGGATTTATAATTCTTGATACAATTTAATACTCTCAATACTTCAGACTCTGTTATCACAGCGTCCAGTTCATCGTACACACAGTCGGGAGTATCTTGTATAATGTCACTCTCTCTTGTGTCGGAAGTACACATCACTGAGGAGTCCTAGAAGGACAAAACGTTGTATGATGCATCGTTGATGATATCGTTGGGTTCTACTGTATCTAACTCTAAATTTGTATTAAAAGGTTTTGTTTACTTGTGTGTGTTTTGTACAATCTTGTGAAAGGTATATGCTTAGAAACAAGTTCATGAATATCATAAATTATTTAACTACTGATCGCTGCGTGTTTCACCGGTTGATGACCCTAATGACCTTCGATGCACTGACCGGCCGTTATTATTGTAATAATGATAATGATAATTAAACTACTAAGGTCACCAACACTATCATTCTTACAAATAAGGTTTTTCCAATCTGTTGATGAAAAATCCTGCCAATATGCTCCGTTAAATTTATAGTGTTTTTAATGTGACTTGTTTTAAATGTTTTTTAAATCAAACATTAATGTTTATTAGGCAGTCCTTACAACACATTGGTGACAAAATTTCAGAACTTTTGATAATATCACGATCATTAATCAAGAAAACATCAATAAAAGAGGCTGAAGAATTTGCTGGTCTTGTTACAGGATTACACTATTGAGATGATACTTAGATAGAATGTTTTCTAGACTTAATTTGGCAGACACGGTAAGCATACATCAATTTGAAAAAAAAATAAAGAAAATACCAACAT